TGGACTCAAAAACGAATGGCTGAACCCCTCCTTGCACCCTTGCACATCATTATTTCTCTTTCCTCTATTCCTCTGTGGCACTGGCCTGGCAGAAGCTCAGCTTTGGTTCAGCCCAACCCAGTATCTATCCCAAGCCTGTGCCAAGCAGCTGAACATGGCTGGATAAAACAAAATCTTCACTTTGAAAGCTGCATCATAGTCTGTGGTGACACTCCACATGTCCCAGCATCAGCCCTCTCCCTAGCTAGTTTATCATCTCAGTCTCCAGGATTCTGCTTTCTGCTTTCTCCCCAGGCCTCCAATGCCCCTTGCTCCCAGTTGAAGACCTCATCAACAGAAACACTCAGAAGAGAATTACCTCTTCTTTCCAGGATCAACATACCAGTCTGCCTGTATCTACACACATGAACCCTTCCTTCTTTCCTATTGCAATGATACACTGTCCCTGTACCTCCACTGCCACTTCAACCCTGTCCCTCTTCCTACCCAGAACTCTCCTCTTACCATTATGCCCTGATAACTCTCAAATACTGAGAGTTCTCCAGCCTGAGTTCTGAACTGGTAACTGCTAACTGATTTCTCCACTTGAATGACTAAGTGCCTCAAACTGATGCATATGGAACAGGATTCTCAAGTCTCTTCTCTCTCCCCCCACCATGTCTTTACAGCTTAGCAAGTGGCATCAATGGCATCATCCTTCATCCTATAGTTTGAACTAAAACCTTGGAGCCATCCTTAATACCTCCTCACTCCAAGTCTAATCCATCTGCAAGTCTGCAAGTCTTTTTTCCCCCTCATATGTATATGGGGCTAGGGCTAGAACCCAGGACCTTGGACATGCCAGGCAAGCACTCCACCCCACTGGGATACACAGCCAGCTCTTCACAAAGTCTTGATTACTCCATCTTCAAACTGTAGGAGAAATCCCACATTCCCCTCCATCTCCACTCCTGCCTCCAGTCGTTGCAGGCTCTTGTTTGGGCTACAGCAACAGGACCCAGTTTTCCAGCTCCCACTATTGTTCTCTCACTGCCCATCCTCAGTAGCAGAGCCAGCACAAGTTTTCAGAACAAAAGCCAAGTGATGACACTTCTCTGCCCAAAATCCTCCTACAACTTTCCTTCACAGAAGATCCAAACTCTTTGCCACGCCCATAAGGTCCTAGGTCCTTTCTTCCCTCTGCCACCCTAGAACACTAGCTTCCTGTTTGTATTCCATCACGCAAGATCACTTTGCATCAGGAACTTTGTTCTCTTCATCTAGAGTGCTCTTTCCGTACATCCTCACACACTAAGCCCTTCACATTAACTGGGTTTCATTTGTTCTCAGAGATACTTTAAGATAGTTAAAAGACTGCCTCCCCAGCCTGGGCTAGTGGTGGAGCTGAGTGGCAAAGCACAAGCCCACATGTCCTCGCTTAAAACCTTAGCACTGTAAAGAAAAAGAAAAAAAAATGCCTAGCCCTTTGCCCTTTATTGGACATCCTGCCTGATTTTTCTTCATAGTGCTCTCCGTTAGCTCAAATCACACTATCCATTCACTTGCTTAATGTTGATCTTCACGGAATGGAAGCTACATGAGCTCAGAGCAGTGCTAAAATAATGCTTAGTGAAGATGGTGAATTAATGAATACTGTTTTTATGATAAAAATGAAACTAATCCAGCACTCAGGAGGCCAGAGGCAGGCAGATCTCTGTTGGAGGTTAGCCTGGTCTACATGAGACCTTGTGTTAAAAAAATTTCCAGACTAACTTTTTAAGAAATGTAACTGTATGAATAAATTAAACTTGTGGAGAAACACTAAAAGAGAACACAAAAAAATAAAAGTAGGAACTCTAAAACTTATAGCATCTCATTTTAATGCTATATTATTGCTATAATTAAAAAGTGTCACTAGGTGTGGTGGTACACACCTCTAATCCCAGCACTTGGGAGGCAGAGGCAGGAGGATTTTTGTGAGTTTGAGGCCAGCCTAGTCTACATAGTAAGTTCCAGGCCAGCTGGGGCTACAAGGAGACCCTCAAAAAAGAAAAGAGTGTCTTTTCTGTCTTAGATTGAAGACGAGTGAGGATCTGTCCATGGAGTCGCTGCCTTACTCGGATTGGAAGCATGAGAAACACAGAAGTCATGTCTGGGCATTGGTCTAAGGCTACTCACTAGGCCTTGGTACTGTTCTCTTTTTACTTTGGCTTACTTTTTTTTCTTTTGGTCTTATTAAGACAGGGTCTCTCTATAGCCCCAGCTGACCTGGAACTCACTATGTAGACCAGGCTGGCCTCAAATTCACAGAGATCCTCGGATTAAAGGCATGCATCACCATGCCTGGCTGGCTTACTATTCTTTAAAGATTTTTTTATTAACTAATTTTATTTACTGTGTGTATGCATGCACATGAGTGCATGTGTGTGCCCATGTGTGTAGGTTCACGCATGCTACACTGTAAGTGAGATCAAAGGACAACTTTTGGGAGTCAGTTCTCTTCTACCACATGGGTCTTAGGGACTGAACTCAGGCCATCAGGCTTGGCAGAAAGTAGGAACTCTAAAACTTACAGTATCTCATTTTAATGCTATATTATTGCTATAAATAAAAGTGTCAGCAGGTGTGGTGGTACATGCCTTTAATCCCAGCACTCAGAGGCAGAGGCAGGAGGATCTTTGTGAGTTCGAGGCTAGTTCCTACCTGCTGAGCAATTTCACTGACCCTTGTTTTGGTTTATTTTTTGAGAAAGGGTCTCCCTATGTAGCCCAAGCTGACTTCAAACTGATGATCCTCCTGCCTCAGTTTCTAAGTACTGGGATTACATGTGTATTGTCACCATACCAGCTGATGCATCCCTCTTGAACATAACATGAAGAGCCAACAAAGCAACTCCATGACCATCATGAATTAGGAAAAAAGGACCACTCTGCAATGATATCTGAACACAGACAAGCATAAACACTGTCTAGGCCCCAAACACCAAACATCTCTGCTTCCCAGCTAATGTTTCTTTCCCAATCTCAGCTCTGGTTGCTTCTTGGTCTAATCATCCTACAGGAAAGATTTATAAAAAGTTAAATCATACATCTGCCCATTTCCTGAAAGCACCCAATCAAAACCAAAGGTCTGACTCCTTCAAAACTTTCCAAGATTGCAACACAAACTGAATTTCATCACAAGACCTTTAACACTGTCTTCCTGAGACCATGCATGCACAGTGTTCTTCCCCCGCCCCCGACACCTTTCTCTCTCCTCTCTCTGCAATGAGCTGTGGACCCAACTTGCTCAAATACAGATGTGCTTCTGGCTGTCTCTAGCCAACTAACAGCTGTCATGATACCAGTGCCATTACAAGTCACTATACATGCAAAAGTCACAGATCCTGCTGTAAAAATAAGCCAGGATATAATCTCAGTGCTGGCTCTCTGAATACATTCCCTGACACCAGCTAATTTTTTTGGCATTTGCTTCTTTTTCCTGAAAGCGAGAAGAAAAGGCCTATGTAGTGAACTGTCACAGTGAATAATGGCACAGTTAATCTAAGATGCCCTGCATAGCTTCCCTTCCTCCCACTTCACAAAGTGGCCCCAAGCACCAGGCTACAGTGGTGTTGGAGGACTGACTCATGGGCAGAGCCTGAGGCAACACCACTCAAGTACTTTAAGCCACATGTTCAAGCCCAATAAATTAGCCTGGGCTTAAAGAAGTCAAGCTGTACACATGTAAGAATTTTAATAAGCTTGGAAAATGCTACCTGGAGCTATGCACAGGCTTACTGTACCAATGGGATTCCGTGCCACCAGCCACAGAGTGCTAAGCCCCTGACAAGAGCTGTGGAGCATGTGAGGCAGCAGGGACAGGCAGTCAGTTTGGTCCAGGTTTCCTCAGAAGTAGGAGACTTGAAGCAGATGGCTGGTAGCCAGATGGATGGGAGAACAGAACAGGATAGGCAGCTCAGTAGAGCCAATGGCATTTACCAGGAAAATTTGCCAAGCCATTCTTTGTGGGAATCTGGTTCTCACACACCCTTGTAGAAACTAGCAAACACCATAATCAATGTCTGCATTTATCAAATACCTGTTTGTACTGAGAACTATGATAGATACAATGGAGAGTTAAGCAAACATGGTCTCTGACTTCTAGATGCCAACACCTAACATAAATAAAAACAATAAATCTGTCCAAAGGATTACTAAACTAATTGAACAAACATGAACTAGTCAAAAGCATTCACCTTACACAAATGCAGTGGAGTAATCAAGAAGGGTAAGTCATGGGAGATGACTCTCTGAACAAGGTGGGGCCCAAATGGAACAGTTACCTGTGAAGGCTGAGCCTCCAAGGGGGAGGTCAGGCTTTGAGAAAAGCTTCACAGGATGGGTACCAGGCAGTGGGTGGGGAGAGGGACTGGAAAGAGGGTGCAGTCTGGGAGAGGATTTAGAGGCAAAAAGACAACTACAAGAAATAAAATAAGTAAAAATAAATTAACTGCCCTGGAAAAGTAGAGGAAGCAAGCAGGTGAATGTACTCAACTGGTGGGCCCCTTCTGATAATTAGGAAAAAGAGCTTATTCTCTGATGGTGCTACTTAAAATTCCAAAAGGAACTGGATATCTTAACCAACTCCAAATCAAAGCAACAGTAGTTTCAGGATCTCATTCATATTCACTCCCTCCCTCTCCCCCTTTTCCTGAGACAGGTCTCAGAGGTCAGGCTAGCCTGAAAATCACTATACAGCCCAGGCTAACCCTGAATTCACAATCCTCCTGCCTCAGTTTTCCAAGCACTGAGATTATCTGTACACCACACCCAGTGCTGGTTTTACAAATAAAACAAATCAATGCTTCCCTCTGAGGTAAAACTGCCCAGGTGGGCGAGGGATGGTCTCTATCAGTGAATTCATTAGGAAGAGAGCGTGTGGATCATAGGTCCACATGGCACCAGACAACCAGTAGTATAGGGTTACAGAGTAAGGTGAGAAAAAAGACCCTGATGCTAGCAAAAGCTCACAGTAATTACCTGATTAAAATTTTTGAAGGCGAACTCTTTGTAGATGGCATCTCTCTCATTTAATTCTGACCATCCAGATGCTTTCAGGTCAGAGAGAAGCTGGTTCCTCTCCTCTGCTGTCAACCACTGGGCGTCTGAAGACTATGAAGAGAACATATTTCATATCTGAAAATGCAGACATTTATTTAAACTCTAAATAAATTCATACCTCTTTACTTTAAAAAAAATACAGAAAGGGCTAGAGAGATGGCTCAGTGGTTAAGAGCACTGGCTGCTCTTGCAGAGAACCTGGGTTCGATTCCCAGCACCCACATGGCAGCTAACAACTGGAGTCCATAACTCCAGTTCCAGGGGACCAGACGCCCTCTCCTGATCTCCGCAGGCATTGCACGACACAGGTACACTTAAATACATGCAGGCAGTATACTCATATACATAAAAAAATTAAAATCATAAAATATTTCAAAGATACAGAAAAAAAGTCAAAAGAGTAACAAATTCTAACTATCATTCTTTTATTCTCAAAAGATAAGCAAACTTTACACAGGTTATCTCTGTACAAAATAAGCTTCTATGTAACCTCCCTACTCATCTCTGCTGCCTCAGACTTTACTACAATTCAGCAACTCGGGTTTATCACAGATACAACTAATTGCCCATAGTCACAGGCCTTCTTAGACACTTTGCAGAATTCCAGGACTTGGGCAAGGAGCAACTGAGGTAAAAACATGCGTCCAAGGAAACTGCTGATAGGACCAAATCAGAACTCAGAATCCTGGGAGCTAGAGAGACGGTTCATCGGTTAAGAGCACTGGCTGCTCTTGCAGAGGACTTAGGTTCAATTCCCAGCACCCGCATGGTGGCTCAAACCATCTGTAATTCTAGTTCCAGGGGATCCGACATAACAGCTTCTTGTAACCTCTGTGGGCATTACATAACATGGGTGCACTTGCATACACTCATACACATAAAAAATAATAAAATATATTTTTAAAAAAGAATTCAGGGGTGGAGAGATGACTCAGTGGTTAAGAACACTGACTGTTCTTGCAGAAGACCTGGGTTCGAATCCCAGCACCCACATGGCAGTTAACAACTGTCTGTAACTCCAGTTCCAGGAGATCCAACAGCCTCTTCTGTCCTCCGAGGGCATTAGGATGACATGGATGCACTTACCTACATGCAGGCAATATACGCATACACATAAAATAAAAATAATAAATAAAATACTTTAAAAAAAAAAGAACTCAGAATTCTGAGCTCATGCTCTGTTCTTCTTTGAATGGTTTTCCATTCATCACCTCCCATAGTCTTTACAGCTTATTCACATGAGTTTATTTAGCATAACTGTTCCCTTCCATATAAAATGAAAATCAGTCTACAGAGGGGGGAAATGTACATTTACATGGGATTTTATATAACAACCTCTGGGGCTCCATAGAGCCTCTACTACAGATAAAAAGTCCTTGCCTTAATAGTTTATGAAACACTTTCTCAGCACAACAGTAAGATAAATTCCCTTCATATGTTGGCCAGAGGACCACCCAGAGCATCCGAAGCACCTGCACGCACTGTCCTTGCTCTTATCCTCCTCCCTGGTGAAGTCACAGCTCAATTCTTTTGCTATTCTTCCTATGCCTCTCTTGTTCTAAAACATTAAACACCATGATGAGAGAGAAGAGACAGATACCCTACTACGACTGTAAAAGTGAGTTTCTCATTCCAGCCAACCAATGCCTCCTGCCTCACCTGCCTCACAGGACTACTGTAGGCTCAGGTGAGGCTGACTCAGCCCCAGGTTCTGAGCTTAGGTGGAAAACTCTTGGTGGGGGTGGGGTGAGGGAGCGCCACTCTCCAGATTCTCTGCCTTAAAGCTGCAACTCACTCCCACTTCTGGAATCCTAAAACTTTTTATTCTGGACATTAATATAGTTAAGAGGACAAAAATGTTTTACCTTTCAGCAGCTTTTTCTATGAAGAGGAAAGAAGGAAGTTGATGAATTGGTTTTCTAGTTTTTTCTTCCTGGCTGCAGCAGCTTCTCTTTCCCACAACAGGGGGAAGCGAGAACACCTCTAAAACAAAAACCTTTAAAGCTTCCTATCCAAAATAAGCACTAAGAATCAAAGGAACCTTACAATAATGATTTTGAAAGCTTTCTCTTTTTGGGCAGGGGGAGTTGACATACGTTCTAACTAAGCCAAGCTAGCTATGAACTTGTAACAATCCTCCTGCCTCAGCCTCTCTAGTGCTGGGACTACAGACATGTGCCACAATACCCGGCAAATTTCTGAAATATTTCTATAGGTAATAATCTTAACTGCCTGTTAACTGTCTATTTACAGGACTGGAGAAATGAGCCGAGTGTGGTGACGCACGCCTTTAATCCCAGCACTCAGGAGGCAGAGGCAGGTGGATCTCTGTGAATTCAAGGGCAGCCTGGTCTACATAGTGAGTTCAGGTCAACTGGGACTACAGGGAGACCCTGACTCAAAAACACAAAAAAAAAAAAAAGAAAGAAAGAAAGAAAGAAAGAAAGAAAGAAAGAAAGAAAGAAAGAAAGAAAGAAAGAAAGAAAGAAAGAAAAAAAGAAACGGTTGGAGAGATGGCTCAGTGGTTAAGAGCACTGGCTGTTCTTGTGGAGGACCCAGGTTCAAGTCCTAGCACCCACATGACAGCTAACAACCATCTATAACTCCAGTTCAGGGGATCTGACGCCCCCTTAAGACCTCCAATGGCACTAAATGATACGGGTGCAATCATATACATGCAGAAAATACATTCATATATATAAAATAAAAATAATAAGATATTTTTTGAAATCTTAACTATTTTAAGTCAACTAAGAGAATTTTGGAAAAGAAACTGTTCTTTCTTGCACAATGAGTAAGAGGAAAATTATCAAATATGCTGTGGATTCCACAACAGTCATCTGGAAGCTATAGAAGGGGCTGTTTTTCTCTGGTGACGGGCCATCCACAGTCCTATAGAGATCAAGAGCATGCATGGCGGCTGGTAACAGATGTCCACCCAGCAACAGGGATCAGATGGTGTTCAGGACTGTGAAATGAAATGGAGCCCCTTCATCTACAGAACACAATGGCCCACTAGAAGACATGCCCTCAGAGAACCCTCTGCAGTAGCCTGGAAGTGGTTTTCATGGGACTAGAGGGAGGATGTGGAGACTACAAATGTGATCCAAGGGTTATCTCTAACTTTTCACTGTTGGATGCTGAACTTGATCACTCTGAATCCCAGCATCCTCTGGCCTACAGTGCAGATGTTACAGTATCAAAATGTCAAGAATGTTTGTTTTAGATCTTGTGCCAGACATGTGGTGGCACACACCTTAATCCCAGCACTCAGGAGGCAGAAGCACATGACTCTCTATAACTGTGAGGCCAGCCTGGTCTACACAGTGAGAGCCTGTTAAAAGAAAAAAGAAAAAGAAAAAAAAAAAAAAAAGAGGGGGGAAGGATCTCGAATGTAATGGCACCCATCAGGGTAGCCATTTAAATCATGTCTGTTTACTCATTCCTTCCCAGACACCATGATTTTACATGCTCACCAGCACTTGGGGCAGAGGTATGCCTTGATACAGGCCTAAGTGACAGCAAACAAGTTGTGTAGAGTGATTATCTTTGTCCACTACTGAGTATTTTTTTAATATTATTTTTAGAAGCATATCATTACAGCTTTAACATTCCCAATAACAGTTTCCATTTTAAATATATTAAAGATATTTCAAGGCACATGCCTGTGATCCCAGTACTTGGGAAGTGGAAGAGGCAGTATAAGGAATTCATGGTCAACCAGCCTCAGCAATATAGTGAGTTCTAGGCTAGTCTGGATTACATGAGACCCTATTTCAAAAACTAAATAAATAACTAAGTAAATAAATAAAATAAGGCCAGGTCTGATGGCTCATGCCTTTATACAACACTTACAAGGCAGAGACAGGAAGATCTCAGTGAGGTTCAGTCCAGCCTGGTCTACATAGGAGTTCCAGGCTAGCCAGAACTATATAGTGAAACCCTGTCTAAAAGAAGATTTTTTGCTTTCATTTCTTTCATTGGAACAAAGGAAATAAATGGGAAGGAGAGGGGAGAAAAAAGACAGGGTGGGAGTACAAAGAAATATGCTTAGTCTACAATATATAACTCTATGAAACTTTAACTTAAAAGTTAAAAGAAAAATATGTTAACCAAATGCAATGACTGGTCATAGATTACACCAGAAAAATTTGTTTTCTCTAAGGACATTGGTCAGAAACTATGGCCATTAATCGTACCAATTTTTCTGACTTCAACAATTCCACTGTGTAATATTAGAAAATTGTTCTTAAGAAATTCATTGCTGGGGCTGAGGAGAGGTCAGCGGTTAAGAGCACTGGTTGCTCTTGCAGAGGACCTAGGTTGAGTTCTCATCACCCACATGGAGGCTCACAATGGTCCTGTAACTCCATTTCCAGGGGGACCCCCAATGCCTTCTTCTGGCCTCCGTGAGCACCAGGCACATACATACATGCAAGCAAAACACTCATACACATAATTTTTTTTTTTCAGTCTTTAAAAATAATTTCAGGACCAGGCATGGTGGCGCACACCTTTAATCCCACTCGGGAGGCAGAGGCGGGCGATCTCTGTGAGTTCAAGGCCAGCCCGGTCTACATAGTGAGTTCCAGGGCGGCTGGGGCTACAGGGAGACCCTGTCTCAAAAAAGACCAAAAAACCCCCCAAAAGACCTGTACCATCAGTGTGTGAAGATAAAGCTGTGCTCTTTCGTGTATATGCAGCTTACTATATCCAAGCATATCTTTATGTGGAAAAGAAAAAGACCAAAAAAAAAAAAAAAAATTCAAATGAGCTCTAACAAGGAAGGTTTTTTAAAATGAAATTGTGGGATTAACACGATATTTTTCCACTAGGTGGCGCCGCGCGTCAAAACCTTCCCTCGATTTACCCGAACTTTTTTTTATTTTAAACAGGCTCACTTTGCAGTACACCCACTTTGTAGCCCAGACTGGCTTCGCCATGATCCTCCTGCCTCTGCCTCCCAAGTGGTGGGATTACAGGCGTGCACTCACCAAGCACGACCAAAATACTAACGTCTAGAAGACTAAACGTCCTCCTTAGAAGTGGCTAGAAAAATCAATGTGCCGGCCAAAAATGATTATTTAATTCCTGCTAAAACTCAGCACTAAGACAACGTAGTTAACTGGCGCCCTCCTCCCATGTGCAGTCCAGGCCAGCCAGAGCCTCTGGTCACAGCATACCGAATGTCAACTAATTTTCATGTTTACATTCTTTACACATGCTCCTTCGTTTGTTTCCGCTAAATGAACTCGCAGGCTACCGTGAAGGTCTGAAGCGTGGGAACTGGGGGGGGGGGGGTGCGCGCAGCTGCCCTGCGTCCCGGCCTTTCAGCGCCTCGGCTCTCCCGACGCACATCTCGGCTAGCCGCGCTCCCGGCCCGTGTGGCCCACACTCACCATGGTCCTCCGGCCTAGGGGGCGGCCCCGCAGCGCCACCAGCCAGCGCCCTGCTCCCCGCGCCGAGAGGCCCGCCGCCATGGCCCTCGGGCTGCCCGGCGCGTTGCCTGAGTCGGCCGCTCGCGCCCTCCGGCTCACCGCAGGCCCAGGCCAGGAAGGCCCCCGGAGCAGGGATGGCCGCCGCGCCCGCAGCTTTCCGTTCTCACGTGGGCTCTGCAGCTCGCACCCTCCCGAGTATCTGGACTCCCTCCAGGTGATGGGGAGCATCGAGCGCCGGAGGGAAGACGTCGCGGCTGCCTCGCCCCCCCCCCCCCCCCCCCCGCCCCGTGGTTAAGGACTTGGGTGTTGCTGTGAACCACAGGGTCTCACATAAGGGCCTTGGAAGTCAGGTTTCCCCATCTCTAGCCGCCTTGATAGAA